ATGTTCTCACTGATCGCCACGTGTGTGAAACGGCACAGTATTTGTTTCGACTGCAAAGAGAAACTTTCGACCTGTCCACTCTGCAGGCAACCATTTTCAACAGCAAGAAACATATTCGCAGAAAGAATGATTTCAAAAATGAGGTTTTCCTGCCCATTTTCAGAGAGAGGATGTAGAAAGCAACTTACTTTTCAGAATGTCTTGTCACATGAAGGTGAGTGTGAATACCGTCCCCTTGAATGCCCATTCATAAGTGTCCCGACCGTGGAATGCCCCTGGATGGGCAATGCGACCAGTGTCGTGAGTCATATTCGGACGATGCATAATACACCGACAAATATAAACATTCAAAATATAAAGCTGTACTCTAAAATCCTGGATTTTAAGGAATGTTGTAAATAATTCGGGTGGATGCAAGTTATGTTCTGTATGGGTGAGACATTCTTCATGGATATCACGATTACAGGAAATGATTTACACCTTTGTCTCCATCACGTCGGACTACCGTACGACACGCCCAATTTTAAATACAAAGTATCAATTGCGAAAGAAAATAAGTCTGGAAATATCTCTATATACAACACATGAAAATATTGAGAAACTGATATAAAGAAGATATTTAAAGAAAAGGACTGCCCTGTTTTCGGAAAGAAACAGTGGATAAAATGCATTGAGGGAGACGGCAGTTTGTCATATCAAGTGCAAATATGTAAGTCTTCGATGACCTAAACGACCTCTAGAAACAGCTTATGATACGTGTTTATATACGGAATTAACGTTAAAAGTCATGTAATATTAAGAAGTTGCTAGCTTATGAAAAAAAAGGTATGAGGTATTAAAATGTAAGATTTGAGGTTTTCACAGCGGTGAGTATGAAGATTTCTGTCTTCTGGGTTGTTGCGCTGTGTAGTCTGGTCGATGTTAACCAACGTTTCAGGGGTCATACTGCCTCCGTCATCAGGGCGATGAGTATGAAGATTTCTGTCTTCTGGGTTGTTGCGCTGTGTAGTGTGGTCGATGTTTACCAACGTTTCAGAGGTCATACTGCCTCCGTCATCAGGGCGATGAGTATGAAGATTTCTGTCTTCTGGGTTGTTGCGCTGTGTAGTGTGGTCGATGTTTACCAACGTTTCAGAGGTCATACTGCCTCCGTCATCAGGGCGATGAGTATGAAGATTTCTATCTTCTGGGTTCTTGCGCTGTGTAGTGTGGTCGATGTTTACCAACGTTTCAGAGGTCATACTGCCTCCATCATCAGAGTATGAAGATTTCTGTCTTCTGGGTTGTTGCGCTGTGTAGTCTGGT